CCGACTTCGTATAACGTGATTTTCTTGACCTGCTTTGTGATGACGACGGTAGCCGAGTTGACTGCTCGGCGGGGCATGGTAAGGGGCAGATCCCCGGGCAGAGCTCCATCAGCGTTCGGGGTGATAACCCAGGGGTCAGGGGTCTGCTCGGGACGATAAAAAGCGTTGTTCATTGTTGATATTGACTGCGAGTGGTTCGCGTTGATTGCAAGTGATTTCGGTATGGGTTATGGTGTTACACCCGGCGGCGCGCCCTCGGCGACCCCCGCTGGGCGCGAGCGACCGACGACTCAACTCGTTACTGGCGCGTCCGACGGAGGCTTCCGACGACAGATTCCTTCTCGTGGATCGACGAGGGCTTCCCAGAACCCCCGTCGCATGTGTTACTTAGTTAGCTTGATAGCAACGTGGTAGTGTGCGCTGACCACGACGGTACGACCTTTGACCAACGACCTCTCCGTCCCGCCCGCGCTCCCTGTCGGCCGTAGCCCATCGCGTTACTCAGACCCTATGGCCCTAACATGTGGTGTGTGTAACGACCCTTCCTGGCTCGCTTGCTCATATCTCACATCCACACAGCCAACGGCAGTCTCCAAGCAGGCACGATCTTCACAGACTAAATGATGACTGCGTATGTGCACCTACGACGAGGTGTTGACAAGGAGATGTGCAGTGCTGTATCACGATGCGTGCCCTTTCCGCTTGGCGTTGAAAGAAATGCTCTTCCGTGCAACCGCTGTTTGTGCTTTCTCCCAACATTTTACGTCTCCCGTATTGTATGTCTTTGTCTCAACGTCTATGAGGCTCTGATGTCCCACGAGCCGCACTCTGACAGGATTATGAAGATCTGATTGCAGTCGCATTGTAGCAAGAGGCGTGTACGAGATGAGAGCCTGGCGACAAACGTCGCGTGAGAGATCAGACCCCGACCACTGACGAGGTAAGGTATCAAGGACGGTGCAAATGCCACGCGTCTTCGAGATGAGGATCGAGGTGCGCCGTCAAGACGTCGATTGGATTGTCGCGCGGAAGCTCGTATGGGTTGGCTTCATCAGGTCGATAGTGAAAGTAGCGGGGTTGCTGTTGAGGCGATGGCACCGTTTGTGACGGACGATGCTCGAATCTTGACGGCTGTCCTGCCGGCTGCGCATCCCAGATTGCTTGCTGGTGCATGCTCAGAGCCTGAGGTCGTCGAAAGGCGTTCGTGGGCGGGGGTGGTGGCGTCTCGAACCCGGGCACCAATCTCGGGCTCTCTGGAAAGATGAGCTCTGAATCCTCCGTCGCTTGCGGAATCTGCCTGACGTCAGCCGGAGATCTCTGCGTATTACTGACGGGTGCTAATTGGAGACTGTTCAGAGAAACCATCTGGGGAGCTCGAGCCGAGCCTCGATCGTGCGCGTCCACATTGGCGAAGGCCGATCGTGAAGAAGACGCCCCGTAGGTGGGTGCGTCTAGCCGTCGTGCTTTCTTTGCCGCTAAATCGTCGTCCTCTTGAAGTTCCGTGGGCATAGCACTGCTATGAAGCAAGTCGAGTGGATGGCCTATGGGCCTTTTCCTACTCATCATGGCTTGCAGAGGACGGTGCGGTTCTCCCCTGGGCACGGGCCGAGTGAGGTGGGGAATGTACGACAGCTGCACGCTCGCGGCTTCCTGCAGACTGGGCGGAACGGTGTACACCGTCTCAAAGCGCAGTGCCGGGTAGAGTTGCGTTGGTCGTACGATGGCCCGCGGTACGAGACGAGCTCGGCCCTGACGGCTTTCCGCCATCACGTACATGACACGATCCAGCACCGCGGCTTTCCGGCCCTCGAACGTGTACAGCTTGAGCTCGACATGGCCACTGTTGAGATCAAAGTGCTCGAACATCGGAGTCTCAAACCATGGTAGTCGGGCTTCACCGTCGACCGGGTTCGACATGAGACTGTACCATACGAGACTGTCTTCGCTTCTCGAAGATGCGAACTGGGTCAAGTATCGTCGACTCTGCTCCAAGATGTTGGCCATCCTCGCGCTCCGCGTGGGTGAATAGAGGCTATTGTCGGCTTCTTGCGGTAAGCGAGCCACCTGCCTCTCGACTGTTCTTGGATTAAAGCCCAGACGCTCGACCGAATCGAGCACTGGCCACTGAAACAGTTCCGGGAGCTTGTCGAGCCAGGTGTAGCTCTTTTTGAACGCTGTCCGTTTCTGCCAGACGATCTGATGTCCAGGCATGCCATCGATCGACTGCCTCGTGCCTTGAGGCGAGCCGCGCAGCAAGTACCTGGGCTCGAGATGATACACAGCATCGGTATCGCGGAGGACCTGGACGGAATGCATAAAGACCAAGATATCCGGGTTGTAGACACCCATCGGGTTCGAGGGCAGCACGTCGCCCATTTTGAGGAACACTGTACGCGTGTGCTTGCCATCCTCCGAGACGTAGTCGAGATACTGACGATGTCGAACCAGATCTGCAGGCGTTGCGATGCTTCCGGCAGCTCGCAACATGTCGGATCCAATTCTTTTGAACTTTTGCCACTGCTTCTCATAGAATTCTGGACCGTCGATCTGCGAGGAAGCTTGATCTAGGAGGCGCTGGTAATCGGACTCGGACCAGGTCTCGCCCGTGTACGGATTTCTGAGATGGAACTTTTCGGCGAAAGACAGGCCGGCATCTTGATGGCCGTTCGAATCGCCAGCGCACCAGACCAGCTGAGCGCCGATGGCTGCCAGCAGCATGCATTGGAGCAGTCGACAAAGCCGCGCGGTCGGCATGATTGCCAGTGGAGGGGTAGGAAACCAGAGTCCGGCTCGATGCGAGTATGGCGTCCGAACCGTGACGTTGGCAAAAGGCCGGCTTTTATGCCCCCGAGTGAGCCGCCTCGGCAGGGAGAGGATTCGGATCCACTGCGAGGCGGTGTCGCCCAAACTACAGTACTCCCTTCTTTCCTAGAGCAATCCTGTCGCGTTGCGACGAAGGCATCGAGATGAAGTGGTTGTTGGTTCCCATCGTCATTTCATGCAGTGACATTGTGGTTGGCGTTTTAACCACGATACATGCGTGTTTTCATATGCCCGCACATTCGGGGCGTCGGTCGAGGGCCATATGAGACATTGGCGGTGGTCGGTTGTGGCACTCCAGTCACTACGATAAGGAGAAAAAAAGCATGAGCATATTGCTTGTGATCACTGAGACTTGCACGTGTCGGCATGTGATTGAGACGCATCTCTGCGCCCCAGTGAACGGAGTGACTTTAAGAGTGCGGCACGCTCAAAGACGGAGATGCTGGTCAGGACGGCACCGAGGCAAACGCCTGAAAGCCCCACGGTCGGCAGCAAGAGGCGGATTGCTTGCAGCCTTCCCGTCCTCGACGCTCCTTCATTCGCATTTGAAGTTTGCAGGAGCTCCGCAGCTGTCGGCATGAGCTTTGGCACTAGCACACGGAGCACGCCCGCGACGCTTGCGAAGATGACCATGGCGGGGCGGCTCGGGAGCGCCGCAGAAGGCCGGACGCGATGCTGTATCGCAGCCTGGGAGCCCGTGCTGTCGTGCTTTGATTCCTGGCCGATCACGGACTCGGCAAGGCCAAAGTACTTGATCAAGAATGCCCAGCACCAGCCGGCGCGCACCGAAAGGCTAATGGCATTTGCCCAAACGAGGCCCGTCTTGGCGAGAAATGAAGACGCCCCGGGAGCTTGGCCGAGATTACCGGACGGACGGCTTGCAACGGCATAGTTGATTGACGCAAGTACCGTCACGAAGCCGACACTGGCGATGAGGAGGATGCGGTTGTAGCTCTTGACCTGCTTGCGGCTTGCTACCGACTGTACGAAGCCCTCAGCGATGCCATTGATGCCCATGATGGGGAGATACCAGGTGTATGCGGCCAAGATCGCCGGTGCGCTCGTGCCGAGAGCCCACTGAGGTCCCGCCATGATGTAGAGGAAAGCAGTGCTGAGCGGGCCGCCAAAGGTGATCATGATGCACGCCAGCAGCAGATGAAGCCGGAACAGGGCTGCCAGCATGGATGCTGCCTTTTCCACCGCCTTCCTGAGGATGCCCGTTGGGGCTGGCCGAGATGCGCCCGACTCATCGTCGAGCGCGACGAGCTCGGAGCTGAAGACGATGCGCGCCGTTTCTTCGACGGGCTGAAAGAGGATGCGTGCGACTAGCGAGCCGTAGTTGGATGCGAGTGCGTAGCCGCCTTGATCTTCGAGGGTGGCGTAGCGAGCGACTGCGAATTTGTCGGCTTCGGTAAGAAGATGTTTGAGGACGCCCTGCTGGGCCATGGCCATGCAGAGCGAGACTGTTGCGCGATCCAGCCACGCTGTTTCGGTGCTCGCAACTCCCGTGCGAGGATCGGAACGCGTGACGCGATCCGGCCGCGGGATGTACAGATCCAAGGTCTGACGGAAAGAATAGCTTGTGACAAAGTAAGATAGGTGGACCGCGAGCATGGTCATGCCGAACGACGCCTGGCCGATTCCGAATGCAAGAAGCGCTACCGCCTTCTCATCCGCCAAGACATGCTTTATAGTCGACGGCGCCGTCGACCAGCGAGGCAGACACAGGATGGTGGCGATGGTGGTGAGCACCTTGACAAAGACGGCAGCACCCTCTGCCTTGACTCTAAGTGACGGCTGACCGAGGCGCACGGCGCGAATGAGGAGCGGCTCGTACACGAGCTCGCTGAGTGCGCCGAGCGCATAGAGGGCTATGCTTGCGTGGAACGTGGGTACGGCGTGGATCGACTTTGGCGAGATGAGGGCTGTGTACGCGCCGCACGCGATGCCAGTGAGGGCAAAGCCGATCGGGATGGTGAGAAGGGCTACGTTGTGCGTAGCGTTGGTGGTGCCGCTTCTTGGACCTGCCCCACTTGCGGCAACGGATGAAGCATGGCGCGTGCGATCGTTGCGGATGAGGATGGTGCGGATGGCATCGCGCGAGAGAAAGAGGATGGTGGAAAGGAGAAGCTCGAGCTGAATGTTGGCAAGGCCAAAGATGCCAGGAGCGACGAGACGGACGAGCAGCTGGTTGAGGACGAAAGTGAGCGCCCTTGCCGAGATCTGCAGCAGGATGAGCGTCGAGGCTGAAGCGGCCGCTGGCTGAGGGCGTTTGCCGTTCACCGCGTCCGGCTTGGCGTCCGTCATGGCGGAAGTGGAGCTGATGCCAGGCAGACCTGCTGTTAGGACTTCCTCGGAATGGGACGCTGGTGGGTGCTGTCTGAGAGCAACACGGTGATGTTCTCAAGTGGAGGGTCGGAGCAGGAAGAACGCGTGCGGGAGCTCGGAAGTCGGGGCACGCCCAGCGCTTTTTTCCGAGCCATGTAAGCTTCAAGCGACATCCTCCACACTCGTGCTTCTGTCACCGACCTGATCATCCTCTCTTCGACGAACGAGCATCGGAACATCCGCATTTGGCACGTTACGAGCATGTCCGCTTTCTCGCTACGCGCGTATCGGGCGAGCCGAAGCTGTGTGTCATGCGTGCGGAGTCAGCGCTTCTACTCGACCTCGCAGTCTGCCGCTTCTCCCACACCGTCCAAAGAGACGCAACGGGCACGGCTCCGATTTGCGCCTTCTCCCACGGGTTATCTTCACCTCGGTGGACTGCGCACTGCGCTCTTCAATCACCTCTACGCACGTGCGCTCGGAGGCAAGTGGATCCTGCGCATCGAAGACACCGATCAGACGCGGCTCGTTCCGGGCTCGGTCGCAGCGCTGCAAGAGACACTCGAGTGGGCCAAGCTCGACTACGACGAGGGGCCAACGGCGGGTGGCAGCCACGGGCCCTACGTACAGAGCGAACGTCTCGATCTGTATCGGCACTACGCCGAGAAGCTCATCGCGGACGGTAAGGCGTATCGCGACTTTCGTGCCGAGGCGGCTGCGTCGCCCGATGCGGACGCGACGCGCACCAAGCACATTCCGCTGCGCGACGACTACATCGCGCCCACCGAGGCCGAGGCGAAGCATCTCATCTCGCTAGGCAAGCCGCACGTCGTGCGTCTGCGCGCTCCGACCGGCTCGCTGGATCATCACGACCTGGTGTACGGCGAGCTGCACTTCCCCGCCGACCCGCAACGCCACGGCACCGAGGACCCGATTCTGCTCAAGTCCAACGGCTGGCCCACGTACCACCTGGCCAACGTGGTGGACGATCACGAGATGCGCATCACACACGTGCTGCGCGGCGAGGAATGGCTGCCCTCGCTGCCCAAGCATCTGTGGCTGTACGAAGCGCTGGGCCTCACACCGCCGCAATTCGCCCATCTTCCGCTGCTCGTCAATGCCGACGGCACCAAGCTCAGCAAGCGCACCGGCGACGTCCGCGTAGAGAGCTACCGCGACAAGGGCTTTGAGCCCGAGGCGCTCAACAATTTCCTCGGCCTCATGGGGTACAACAACCTCGCGTACCATTCGGCCAATCTCGGCGCGGGCGCCACCCACACCAAGGCCAAGGCGGAGGGCGAGCAGGACGCGACGGGCTACGACGTACTGACCATGGCCGAGATGGTGCGTGGTTTTGACATTGCGCACGTCAACCGCAGTCGGGCTACCGTCGACCTTGCCAAGCTCTACTACCTCAATGCGCGCCACTTGGCACTCAAGCTCGACGACAAGCAACCGGGTGGGGGTCGCGATGAGATCGTAGCCAAGGCGAGACCAAAGCTCGTCGAGGCGTTCCCGGAGGTTGCGGAGCGGCTGCAGGGCGATTCAGAGCTCGTAGAGCAGGTGGTGGTGCTGGCAAAGGGCACGTCAGCAACGCTGTACGACGTGCCCGAGTCGGCAGCCCCGCTCTTCCGCCAGCCTGACTTTGGGCTGGCGGAAGTGCAGGAGTTGTTCGCACGCAACGCCATGGTCAACCGCCACTTTGACGCCGCCGTGCGCGAGGCGCAGCGCCAATTCGAAACGCTCAGCTCCTCGCACAGCTGGACGAGGGAGGGCATTCACGACGTGATTGCGCGCCTGCCAAAGCTGCTTTCGGACGCAGCCCCACCCAGCACCGACGCCAAGACTGCCAAAACCAAAGTCAAGAAGGCGGCCATCTTGGCGCCTCTTCGCTTCGCCATCAGCGCGAGGGAGCGAGGCCCACCGCTGGCCGACTTGTTCCTCTTCCTCGGCGCCGACGAGTCACTAAACCGCCTCCAAAACGCAATCGCAGCTCTCGAGGTACACCAACTGCGCGCATCATCATCACACTAACTCGCGTCGTCTTCCCATTGGAAGAAAGGTATAATTTCATAGCGGGGTATACAGAGTTATATGCAAGTGCGCTTTCGGCACTCACTCGTTCCGAGGCCAGTGTGATGCGTGTGGGATCCGTGTGAATGTGCGCTAGTTGGCCGTGGCGTACGCCTCGAATCGCGCAGGAGGTTTATGAGGTGATGCTGGGCCGAATTGTTGCTCGCCCGATACATCTGCATCAGTGTCGGAGCCCGATCCGCCTCGCGGTGCGCCGTCAAACAGGATCGGCGAGGGCGAATCGCCGTCGAGGTTCGACACAAAGAACGACGATGGAGGCGACGAGACCCGCTCGTGCTCGCCCGCGCGCACTCGCTGCGCCTCGTAGGGAAACAGACGCGGATCTGCACGCGCAGCCAGCATGGCCTCGCTCACGTGCGCATGCGCCGTCCCACTCACCACACGTCGGTGCTGCAGCGCCTCCTTGGTGGGACTGCTGATCAACACAGGCAGTGTCGGCACAGAAGGGTCGTTCGACACTGCCTCGCGAGTCTGCACGTCGGGACGCCCGGTCCAATCCAGCCCTGCCCGCCGGGTGGGAGAGGCAGGACTCGTCAGATCTCGAGAAGCTGCAAATACGCGCCCCGGTCCGACTGGCGACTGCGGAGGCGAAGTCGTCGGGATCGACTGCATCGAGACCGAGCGCCGGCTTGGTAGTGGACGCGGGCCGCTAGGTCGCGGCGACCCCAGCGGTTCCGCAACAGGCCCAGCTCCAGCCGGACGACTCTGCAATTTGGATGCGATGACGAACACGCCCGGAGGCGGAGAGTTCGGTGCACGCGCGGTCCTGTCTGCCGTGCCGACTGATTGGCGCGTCGGCGTGGCATCCACATCCTCGGCGCGAACGAGCAGCGGCTTCGTTTCGCCCTGCGCTTGAGCTGGCGCTTTCCACTGCTGCTCGACATACTTGGTGCGCCAGAACTCGGTGCGGTCTCCGGGCGCCGGGAGCCGGCCTGCAGGCTTGCTGTGCTCCCAAACCGCATTGGCGCGTGCGTTGCCCCAGTCTCGAGCCGCCTGCAGCTGCTCCTGCGTCCAGTCATCCAGATCGACCGACTTGACCTTGCTGATGTGCACGCCCAGCGATCGATGCACACCCGAGCACCCGATGCAGATAAAGATGCAGCACGCCTCGTTTGCGAGCATCCACGACGCCCAGCGCGGATCCTCGCTCTGGCAGTCCGCGCACCGTTGGTTCTCTGGCCGACGCGAGATGGCTGCCAGCTCGGCCGCGCGCGACTCTTTGGTGCCGAACGAAGCGCTCGCCCCGCTACCGTTGCGGCCGCTGCTTTTGAAGCTGCTGTTCGGAGCGGTAGTGCGCTGCGCAGGATCGCCTTTAAGCATGCCCATTTCATCGACCTGCGCAGAGGCGTGCGAAAAGCCCGAATGGCTCGCGCCCGTCTCGCCGTGCGATCCGTAGCTTCGTTGAATGACGGCCTCAATCTGTCGGTCAAACTCGGTCTCGTGCTCAGCCTTCGCCGAATGCGATGAGCTCGAGGCGTCATCGCTGGCGCCAGTGACACTGCGCCTATGCCACGCAGCTGCGTCGGCGGCCGACAGTCCAAGACCGCCACTTCCAAGGTATCCGGAAATGGGAGTCTTGTTCGAGATGCCCCGTTGGTGGCGCGATGCGCGCTTCGACAGCTGAACAGCGGGTTCAGCTTGGCTCTCTGACAGTGTGACCAAGTGGGCTCCGACCTTGGTTCGTTCGCCCTTTCGGTCTCCGTTTGGTGCTTTTCCAGGCGAGGAGAGATCGGTCATGCTCTGACTGAATGGCTTTGTTGTCCGGTCGAGCAGCCTGCGAACAGCAAAGTCGTCTCCTTCCAAGACTCGTGCGTCTTCTTCCTTTTCGTCAAAGGCGCCCGCGCGCTGAGCCACGTCAAGGTTGCCGAAGGGAGACGCTCGTACGGCGCGATCGAGCTTGCGTACGCTCGAAGTGCCGTTGAGCAAGCTCTCGATCGCCCTGGCGATGGCGCGCATCCAGTCTCGCATCGTCTCTTCGTCAGGCGCCTGGAAGAAGCGCCGGCTGTCTCGCGTGACAATCTCGAATGTGAAGCGGCGGTCGACACCGCGCGCCTCGCGCACGGTGGCGAAGCGCAGATCGATGAGCGGATTCGTAGGCTCGAGCGCCTTGGCATTCTTCCAGTCGGCAAACTCGCTGACCTGCCCGGAGCCGGACAGGACCACCCAGCATTCGCGCCAGTGCGTCGACCGACTGACGCCTCGCGGGGCATCGGCGCCTGCCGGACCACTGATGGGCTTGGACATGACCCAAAGCACTCCCTCTTTCTTTCGTTCTCCACCGACAGCCGAGTTTGTACTGGCGGGGCTCGGAGCAACAGGTCCCGGCATCCGAGGGGCTTCGGCGGTTCGGGGAGATAGTGGCGGCACCGATGCATAGATACCGAGACCGCGATCCGGATTGGCTGCTCCAACGTCTGGCAAGGGAAGCACGCTGGATGAACGGCTAGACCTGTCCGGCTCTGTGGCACCAGTAAAGTCGCGGGGTTCAGAGCCCCTGCGAGAATGGCCTGACAGTGCGTCATATTTCCAACTCGACGGTGCTTGTGAGCGCAGAGGTGAGGCCGGACTGGCATCTCTGGGTTGATCACGGTCGCTCCTGAGCTTGAGCGACAGACGACGTTGAGCAGATGGCCTCCGAGCCGACTCATTGGCGCTGCTAGCACCTTGATCGGACTCCTGCTGGGACATGGCGGACCCCATCAGAGGCGACCTGCTGTTGGTGAGCGGCGAGGCATTCATATTCGACGCAAAGGCGCCGAGGAACGACTTGAGCTTGCGCGCTTTCGACGCGACCGCACCGCCCGGATGCTGCGCCTGAGGCGTCTCTTGCTCCGCCTCGAATTTGTGTGCTCCGGCGACATCGATGTCGGCATCAGCGGCTTTGCCTAGCATCACTTCCAACTCTCGGATCTTGTCGCCGATCTGACGCGAGCGAGCCTCGGCCTGGTCGAGCTGGATTGCGTGCCCGTCGAGCGCGTCTTGCAGCGCTGCCTCGAACGTCGACAGGAAGCGCTTCTGGTCGTCCGACCGTGCTGCGCCGGGGATGGTGGTGGGCGAATCCGCATACCACCGCGAGAGCTGGAGAATACGCTGAGCGAGGTTGACTTCGGCTCTACCGCCATGCAGGCGCTGCAGCATGAGGAAGAGATCCAGACGAGCCTGCTCGAAGCGCATTTCGCGTAGCTTCTGCTTCTCGTCGGCACGCTCTTGCTTGTGAGCCTTCTCGAGTGCCGGTTGGTACGGGGGATCGCTGTGTGATTGAGTCGAGGCCGACGCGTCGGAACGATTGGCGAGCCACTTTTGCGTCTGGGAATAGTACGTCTTGGACTCGCTGTCAAAGCGCTTGAAACCGTCTTGCACGCCGCGACAGAGCTCGATCAGCTGCAGAAGCGGACGTTCGAGGCAAGCCTCGATTGTATCGACATGCTCTCTGCGGTGCTGACTGGATTTGGCTCGCGCTTGGCGCAAGAAGTGATCCTGCATGCGTCCGAGAGTTTCGGGAGCTATGCCGACGAGATCGTCGAATGCCGCATTCACGACATCTTCAGCTTCCAAGAGCTTGGCCGTGCGGGCCTGCGATTCCTGAACGGCTTTGAGCAGAGCTTTCGAGAGCTTCTTGGTGCTTGCAGTTCTGCGCTCGAGGTTGCCAAGAGCGGCGCGGAAAATGGGCGAGTCGCTGACGACGTCTTCGAGCGCGAGCTCGGTCCGATCGATGGGCACTGGAAGGGAGCCGCCTTGCGGGTCCAGCTGCGAGCGTTCGAGAGCCGGACTCGTCGCGGCTGATTCGAGACCTGCTTGCAAGGCGGGGGATGGCGAGGCCACATCGCTGTCCACGGAAAGATCCTGGCCGAGGTTGAGTGCAGCGATGAGCGCAAGCGAGTCCGATCGCGACATTTCCGCTTTCACCGGCGGGGCAAGGGCGGAGGCGCGCAGGGAGCCCGCATGTGGAGACGGCGACGAAGGCATCTCGACGACGAAAGAAAAGGCAGCGAGGAGCGATGCGGATGCACCATCCGGATGGAGCTCTACAAAGGCGCAGCAGCATCGTGAGCCTGCGTGCGAGGCTGAGCGAGCCAGCGTCTTCCAGCTCCAGTCAAAGTCGCACTCTCGTGCACCACGAGACACGTTGGCCGAGAGTGGGCTGGCTGGAGGCGGGAGTTCGACGCGAGAGATGCCCTCTAGGCTGGCGAGCTCGGCTGTGGCGATGCTTGACTGCGGAGATTCGATTGCATCGATGAGCCTGCGTGTATGAGAGGCAGACAGAAAGAGGATTTTGCCTGAGGCGCCGACTTTGTCAATGTGTGTGTTGGCGGCATGACCTTCGAGTCGGAGTCGGAAGCGAAGGTTGACATCATGACTTTCTGACGTCTCGTGCCGAGACCAGTCGTACGATGCAAAGGAGCTCGCTTCTCGGGTCCATGTTTGCCTTGCCAGCTCGGCCGGTGGAGAGACCTGGAGGAGCAAGCGAGAAGGGTCAAGAACAGCCGGAGCCTCGCGAGTGGCAGGCGCTGCATTGGAGCGTGATTCATCCTTGTCTTGAGGGTCTGCGACGAAAGCGATTGGTGAATGTTCGGACGACGAGACGCCTGACCGTGTGATGCGGCTCTGGATGCCGAGGGGCACGGTGGACAAAAGCCGACGAGGGTCGTTGTGCGGCACGAGCAACAAGTTTTGCGTGACGGCGGAGCGGATAAGCGCCGCTTCATCGGACGCCAGCCGCAGCGGTGGCGGTTTCGAAAGGTCGCTGACCGAGAACGGCGAGTAGTTCTGAGGAGCAGGTGCAGGTTGGAATGTCGCGCGACGATTCTGGCTGTGGCTTTGCGAGGATACACTGAGGCCGTCGGCTACACGGGCGAGCGTCTCTGCGCCGCCTGCACGTTCGAGCGCGCTTGCTCTCCGGCTTGCGAGCCGTCCGAACTCGTTGAGCACATCTCGAGCCTTCTGGCCGAACTCTTGGCTGAGGGGTCTCGCCCTGCCCGCCTTTGTGGGAGGATGTTGGAAGGACGAAGGCGGCGGCTGGGGCGATGCGAGCTTGGAGGAGGATGCATTGCGGTGGGCACTGGGCGAGAGCGGAGGACGAGATGTTTGCGGGTTTGGAGAGACAGGCGCAGTCCTAGGAAGCACGGAGGAAGGCGATGTGACTATGGTGGTAGTGGCGTCGATGTTGATCGACAGGACGCCGAATCGATGGGGATCGGCGATATAGATGGCATGGCCGGGTACATTGAACGCTGATGCTACAGGGGTGCCGGAATGCTTGGTACTGTTGGACGAGTAGTCGTGGCTGGACGCAGGCGAGGGAGCGAATGCGCTGTATCGAGCGCGGCCGGCTGCGTCGTCGGGATGGAAGCTCATGATCGGGCGGCTGTGAAGCTGTATGCGGACATGCCAGGCGCGTGACAAGGGCGTCGCTTCGATTGTATGCACCTTGGTAGAATCAAAGGAGGGATGGATCGAGGAGTGCCGAGACAGAGAAGGTTAAAGAGCGTGAGCGTTACTGTGGAGGTTACTGTGGAGGTGCGGGGAGGGTTGTAGTTGAGGAGGACAAGGGATGCTGAGCGCCGTGTGACATGTGATGTGCGCGTGGGCGCGTGGTCCATGAGGGTGCTGCCCCTTTTTCCCAAAGGCCGAGAGCGGGAGAGCAACACAGAAACACGCAAAAATAAAGACGCGCCTCAGCCAGCCGAGACGCTCATCTCGCTGGAAGGCAGACATGCTGATGAGTCGACAGATTGCAATTGCACTTGAGCAGTGACACTGACGACGGGTAGATGTGCGCAGGGAGGGTGGTCAATGTGCGATGACCATTGACCGAGCAAAGAATCTCCACGCGAACAGCTGGAGGAGGTCTAAGTCGAGCAGTTGACGGTCACGGTGGAGCTGTCGTAGCTGCACTTGTTGTTGAAGTACTTGACGTAAACGTTGTCGGAGCCGCCATCCTTGTAGCCTCTCCAAGTGTTGGGGCCCTTCATCCAGAAGCAGTCGAGACTGTGGTGTATGATGTTCGAAATCACGACACAAGTGAGCACTTCGAATGGAGACGCTCAAGAGGCGCGCATCATCTGGACTTACCCGACCCTCCTGTGGTCGCAGCTGGTCTTGTAAAAGTAGCCGTAATGGTCGTCGTCTTTGATCATTTCACCATCATCGGAGGTGGAAGCGTTGTCTCCGTGGTAGCAGATGGCCACGTCGGCTTTCTGAGGCGCTCCAAGCGCAGCATTCTCGGTAGTGTCCCGAAGGCAGTCGGATCGGCTCGAGCGAGGCTGCAGAGAGGCCTGATGATTTGCACAGAGAGGTACGAAGGGTCAGACGCGACTCGAAAGCTTTGAGACCTCCTCACGAGCACTTACGGCGCAGGTAGCGCCGACAAGGACAGAGGCAGGCAGCAGCTTGAAGATCTGCATGTTTGGTAGGCACTCGAGGCGTCGAGACGGCTTTTCTGGGAGCGTGAAGGCATGTGGAAGTGGCCGCCTTTATCGTCTCTCTGCGCTGCATCATCGAGTCGATGGCCCCACCAGTGCCATGACCAGAGCGGATGGCTCGATATGAAGCTCCGAGCGGCCCACCTTCTCACCTCGCCCACATGCCGTCACTCTCCTCCAGTGCTTCATGTGAGCGGTTTGCCGGCAGCGCCCGCAAGATCAGCCGCGCTACCGTATCGATGAGGGTGGTGGGTCGATCGGTTGCCTCATCTCACATCGACAAAGACTGTTCACCGTCATCGGGCAACGTTGAGTCGGATCCGCTCGTCGCAAAGAAGAGCAGCTTCTATGATGCTTTGTGAGCGGCGTCGGCGAATCCGGCGGGCCAACACGGACGCACTGAGAAAGGCGCATGAATTTTCTCGAGCTTTGCTGCTGGGATGGATTTGCCTTCGACGCGGGAAAGGTCGATTTACAGTCGGTATATCCGGCGCGCAGCCGCAGCGCAGCCAAGTGGCGAATGCGAGGAGGCAGCCTTTTTGTCGGAATCAAACGACAAGACAAGACCGATGCAGCTCCACCAAGGCTGTGCTGGTCAAGACCCGCGCTCGAGCCCACTCCAAGATCACGCGCCACTTGAAACTTGAGCAGCGAAGCTTGGCTAGACCTGGCGTGTCGGCTTGGCCGTCGAAAAAGTCTTACCGCCCACTTGACGCAAATGGCGTTGAATCGAGATGTTCTCTTTCGCTTTCGAGCCACGGCGAATGGAAGTCGGTGATGCGCTTCCGCAGACAGAAGCGCCGGAAAGCGTTGGGCAAGATGAGGATCGTGTAAGGCGACGTAGAAGCAAAGATCCCGCGTCTCTGTGTTGCATGATGGGGGTGGCTTTCTCAGGGTCTCGAGCGGCCGACCGGCTTCCTCGCTTAGCGCGAGTTTAGATTCAAAGTGCGTGTTCTTTGATTTTGGCATTTCCGCTGCTGCTGGACCCCGGCGAGACGCGCGTTGCCCCGCCCACTTTGCAACGGCACAGCGCAATCACAATGCCAAGCCGACCGGAGACTCCGAACCAGAAAGGATCTCTGCTGTGCTCGTAAGGAGAGCGAGCCGTGCACACTGGAGCGGAGCAGCCAAAGACTGGTACGATACCAAAAGGGGAAAAGCGTGAGTGTGCATGATCAGCAGCAGTCTGCCGGGAGCCAGTGGGACCTGCAGATGCGCGCGGAGTATAAAGCGAACGGGCCCGTTGCCGACCCCCGCACGACGCTTGTCTCTGGCGTTGCTGGGGACCCTGGCAGCTGTTGCCGCGTCGCGTCCCTCTGGGTGATCCCGTCGGTGGTGCGCTTGGCTGGCAAAGAGGCACGAAAACGGCTTCGAGAAGCTCGGCTTGTCTCCTTATGTGGGTTGACCGAGGTCGAGCCAACTCAGTCGAGAATCCACTCAACTCCTCACTATGAGGGTGCAGGTAGCGTCTGGCCAGCACAGGCAAATCTGGCGCGCCAACCTCCGCTTTCGGCATCGACTTCTTCAGACAGCGTCCCGTGCGCATGGGCCCCCACCGTCGAGCCAGGCCACCATGCCGCCTCATCTCGTCTTCGCGGAGGTGGGCTGCGCCACTTCTCGGCTTCATTTCGCGCTCAACTCTCTCCTATGCCAGGCCTCGCCCACACACATATATAGCCACCCAGTCCCCCCGTACGCTTCCACCACCCCCCCTGCATCCTCGTCTCCTCCCCATCTGCCATAGACTCTTGCCTGTACCCTAGACTCGACCCCTCTTTCCGCCCCACCTCCTAGTCACTCTCACGAAATGCGTTCCATTGGTGCCACCTCGCTCGTTGCCGCTGTTGCCGCCGTCGCCGGTCTGGCCGGTAGCGCCCAGGCTCAGCTCGACCCTTCGCTCGTCACCGGTCTCTCGTCCGGCTGTGCCTCGAGCCTCGTTGGCATCGTGACCAGCTCCAACATCTCGTCTTGCCTCTCTCTCCCCAGCGCCGTCGGTGCGCTCACCAGCGCAGGCAACAACTCGGTTGTCCCCGGCCTCAACCAGTACCTCAGCGGTAGCATCTGTGGCTCGGGCAAGACCGCCTGCACCAAGGACCAGCTCTCCGCCGCCAACTCCACCCTCCTCCAGGCGTGCGGCTCCGACATCCAGGGCTCCAACGGCGGCATCCCCGCGCTCGTCGCCTACTTTATCAACTCCTACGACCGCCTCCGCACCGCAGGCTGCCTCCAGGACTCCCAGGGCGAATACTGCCTCGTCAAGGAGATGTACACGCTCCAGAACGTCACCCAGATGCCCATCTCGTTCAGCGGCATCCAGAGCCTCCTCTCCAACCAGTCCACCCAGCAGCAGAGCCTCATGGCCCTCTCGGCCAACAAGACCGCCTTCTGCTCCGACTGCACCCACGCCCTCTACTCCACCCTCTTCCCCACCAACTCCAACGCACAGCTCGCCGGCGCCGTCAACCAGACCTGCAACTCCACCTTCCTCGACGGAAAGGTCCCCTCCACCATCAAGAGCACCGCCAACGGAAACTCCACCTCCGCTTCTTCCTCCTCGGGCTCGGGCTCGGGCAAGAACGCCGCCGCCGGTATCAACCTCGGCTCCGTCGCCGCTTTCGGCTCCGCCCTCGCTGCCGTCGCTGCCGGCCTCGCCCTTCTCTAAACGTATGCCTCCTGTACTCTTTGCTATGATTGTAAACAGCCCAAAAGGCCTATATATGCTCTATGATCTTTGTCACAATCTCGCAGTTGGTGTGCATGGGAGCAAGCAGATGACATTGTTCAAACCAAACATGAGCGGAAAAAGAACTATGAGTCTTGGGCGGCGGTCTAAGATTCTTCCTCGGTACGCGTGAGAGCGGCCAGACCGCCTCTCGCAACGCCGCCGGACCATACACGCTTGAGGCTGCGCACGGGATGCTCGGCTGCATCCACCAGATTGTACAGCTGGCCAGCCAGGTTGGTCGATGCGCTGCTGTGTGCATGGCCGTGTTGGCTGTCGGACGTGTTGCGACGCTGGAATCCCGGTCGATATGCAGAGTCGCGAGCCTCGACGCGCGAGCTCATCGGGCTGTTGGGCGCCGTCTTGCGGCCCCATCTCGAACTGATCTGCGGCGAATCAGGCGCGCCATTGCCGCCAACACCGGCGCTTTTCGCCGTGGGCACATACCGTCCCGAAGATCGCACCACCCGCTCCAGGCTTTCGCGCATCGGGTCCGCATAGCGGCGCGTGACCACGTGCGAGCGGTGCGTGCCAATCGCATGCGTCGTGATCGCAATGGCCCGGATCAGCCCCGGATCCACAAGCTGGATCGCATTCTGCGCCAGCTGCGACATGGCATGGCCCTCAAACACGTCGCCCTCCTCCTGCAGCGCAGGCACATCCGTCGGATCCAGCGGGAACGGATCCGGCGACGTCGTCGTCAGTCCGTGAATCAGATGCAGCGGCGTCGCATTCGGCCCACCCGTCGCTGCAGGCGCCTCGGCCGCCACAAGACCATACTCGGTCTGCATCGAACCGGGCATCGCCCCACCCAGCCCAGCAGCATGCGCCAGCGCAGGCGCCCAGCTCGACTCAAACTCGGCCATGTCCAGGCTCGGCCCCAACAGCGCATCCGACAGTCGGCTCTGCTCGATCGGCGGGCCGCTGATGCCGTAGCCCATGACGTAGCGGATCACGCGTCGGCCAGCCTCCTCGCCGTCCTGACTGTCGTGCGCCTGGGCGAACAGCTTCGAGTACACCGAGTTGGCCTGCACCTCGATCGCCTGCGGCGTCTCGTCTGCCGAGCCCTTGACAAATGTCGACACCACCGGCTTCTTGTGCTTCTCCAGCCTCGGGTTGTACGCCTGTACGCCGCGCTGGCTCGAGCCTGCCGCGCCGAGCGCATGGTCGTCCATCGAGTCACGCGCGAGTCGAAGCTTGGCAGCAAGCTTGGCGGCGTCAGCGGCCGTGAGGCTCTGAGTGCTTGCGGTCCTGCGACGCTCGGCTACGTCGTCCCTCGCGGATCGCTGCTGCGCGCTATACCCCAACGTGCTGCTGCCAGCCTGCGGGCCCACGACGCCGGGCGATCGTGCCGAAAGCGGGCTGTGGCCGAGGCTGACCTTGCGCGTATCCGTAGCGGCGTGCTGCTGCTTGTCGAGCGCGACGGGTGCGCTCGTACTCGAGGTCATGGCACTCGCGCTGCGACCGGATCGGCTGGGACCGGCCATGGGCGAGAGTAGGTCGCCGCGATCCTCGTGACGCGCGCCTAGCCTTCCAGCGAGCGCATTGTGTGTGTCGAGCATAGGCGGAGCCGCAGCTTGCGCTTCGCGCGGAAACACGAGGAATCGACTCGAGAGCACCGAGGATCGTGATCGAACCGAAGAGGGCGATGCGGGCGCTGGCAACGACGTACGAAGCGTGCGACTCGACACGCTGGAAGAGACGCGATGATGGCGTGCATGGCTGGCGGTATCGATGGTGAGCGCCGAGTCGGTGCGCGAGGGTGCGCGGACAGACGCAGAAGAGGTGTCGGACGCGATCGCAAATTGGTCCCGCTCCAGAGCCGACGCAGGAGACATTCTCGCCGTGTCATCACGGCTCGCGTGATGGACAAGCGTCTTGGATGTGTCCTCCCGGTTCAGCGTGGCGGGAGAAGAGATGTGTTCCGACGAGCTCGCGGGAGCGGGCGCGTTGCCGCCGTTGGGAGACTCGAGGCGGCGGCGGTCGATCACGTCGACTGAGCTTTCGGCTTCGGGTTCGAGCGTCTTTGCACTTGCTCTTGGGGTATCAGGCGCTTGCAGGAACGCCTCTTTCTTGGGCTCGGGCAGAGTGGTGGTGGAGGCTGCAGGTTTGAGCGGCGGAGGGATGCGCTTCTTGATGCCCAGCACGAGGCCCTCGTCCGCTGGACTGCTGGAGGGAGACAGCGGAGCGCTGTGGTCGCTCGAGGTGTTATCTGCGCTAGCGCTGGTCCAGCCGTCCTCGGTAGCCTCGGGACGTTGGCTCTTTCCCTTGCCCTTGGTCGACTTGCGCCGCCTATTTGATTCGTCCGCAGTCATGGCTAGGTGTGTGAAGGACTTGGATCGCTTGCCGCTCAAATGGGTGCTGCTGTCGCGAGAACGTTGCAGGCGGTCGGTAGACTTGTTGCGTCGCGATGCCTTGTCGTGGTGCTCGGCGTCATGAGGGCCGTCGGGATCGGCGTGAGGCGATTTGTCGCGGCTGGCGTCGCCACCGACGGCGTTGGAAGACATCATGAGACTCGGATCGAATCGACCTCGCGGACCACCGAGCCGAGAGGACGAGCCCTTGCGGGCAAGCTGAGTGGAGGAGCCCGAAGAGGTGAGGCCGTGCGAAGAACGGCGCCGCGATGTGGTGGCCATTTTGAACCGACCAAGCTACGGACGTTGCTCTGTCGAGATCGGTGCGCGGGGACCCCTATCGATGACCAAGTGCTGTGGCTCTGAATCGTGAGTCGATGAAGCTCCGGATCGAAGAGGAGAAGGGTTGCAGACTCTGCCCGACGCGCGTAATCGAAAGGACAGTGGTGACGACGGATCTTCACTAACGGACGTCCGCTCTCGTTTTCGACTGTCTGCCAGCGGTGGTCAGAGGATGGATTCTGAAGTGAGCGTGGTGGGTGCAAGAGAGCAGAAGGCGCAGTCAAAGATAGTGGTAGAGCTTCGGAGCAGTCGGGTGGTCTCCGAAGATGGCTGAGATGAAGGAAGTCGGCAACTGCACGTGGAGGGGGCGGCGGGAGTGCCGGCAGCTGGGCAGCGGATTTTGTCCATGCGGTTCGGGGGAAGCGACTTGGCTCGGGCGCGCTCACGGCAGCCAAAGCCTGCTGAGTGGGTTCAGAGGTCCGCTTCCGTCAACCGCTCAAGACGCGTGTCATCTGGCGATTCAGTCGTTCGCTCTCCCGATACATGACTGCCCTGAATCGGCAAAGTTGTTAGCCCTACGTGACGAACAAATTTCAAAAATTGCTGAATTCGCAATTCCTTCGCCGACCGAGGCTACACCCAGAAACGCGAGGCAGCCAGGCAGCGAGTGGGCGAGGCAGCGTTATGACGATTTGTGGCCGACGCGAGAGACGGTATGCTCGCTTATTCAATGCCTTCTACTTATTCAATGTCTTCTACCTGTAGACAGAGACGTGCCGGAGCGCGACATCTGTTGAAGGGTGATTCCAATATCGGACGGAAGGGAGCGTCCCGAGGCGGTGGAGCAGCGCAATAGCGAGACACGAGGCGCACAACAAAGCATCGGGTCCGCTGCTCGGTGCTTATCCCCTCAAACCTCGACCCTGGTGCGCGCGCATCCACATGTTCGCTGCATTTGATCAACCTGCATGCCTCTGGTAAAAGTGCCGGCCCGGTCGCCTCTGCAGTTGGGATCTCGGGTCCGAGTTCCGCTCTGGCGACTGCAGTCCTCCGGCGCATCGTGGCCACGAGCCAGACTGCACGCCCAGGCTGCATCGACCCATGAAAGTGGGGATCGGCTCCAACCGATCCTGCGTGCGCCACCCAGCTGCATCGTGCCGCCGTCCGTGCCGAGCAACAAGCCCCATTGTGATGCCCTGCCCGTCTGCGCGTCCACATGTCCGAACAACCTATGCATGCGCCTTGGTCAACAGCAAGCAGTGTGACACGCTGTACAGCCGGCACGAGGCGGATGACGGCATCAGCTCCGCATGCCCCTATCTCCTACTCAAGCTCGGGATTATGTTCGGGTGTACGGATACTCGGTGATGCCATCTCCGCCGTGCTCCCCACGAGAATCTCTCGGTCCATGAAAAGGCGGACCTGTAAAAGAAGGAAATAGATTGCCGGCTCTCCCAGGCTCCCTTGTAGCGCTCAGGCCCAACGTGCGGATGCCCAGTCGCACCGTGAGCCAGGTCTTTTTTCTTTTTTTTTTCTCCCTTATTTTTCGACGAAGAGGGCCGGCTGACTTACATACCTCATCAGATTGAGCGGGTCAAGAGGCAGGCATAAGAGGTAGCGCTCTTCAGCCATCGAAAGGTGCGTTGGCGATCTACACACAAGCAGCGCGAAGGCGAGCGGACGGATCAGATGCGGTTGCAAAGCACGATGTGCAGTCAAGCGCGCTGGGTCCGAGGCAGCTCCGATCCGGTGACGAGCCACGCGAGACTCCATCGTGACAGGTCGCAATGTGTCATCACCCTTCCCGCCTCAGTTCGGTTAATCAATTTTCTTTCCTTTTCTCTCACCATCTTTTCCATTGAAACTTCCGGGAAAGCGCAGCTCGAGTTCTGGTCGGTATTCTACCACAAGCTGTGCAGCGCATGGCAATTCTCTCCGCTGGCAGTTGTCTCGGAACGTAGCTCGGCTGGGGACCAGACGTCGGCAACGTGCGAAACAACCGGTGAGTTCGGTGCAGAGGCGGAAAACACGGAAGTTTGCCCGGCCAGCCTTAGCGCCTCTTCGAGGCTCTCATGAGCTGAAGCTAAGCTCGCCAAGCGGCGACCGACAATCTGCCGTGCTGAGACGAAGAGAAGCAAGCGCAAGCGCGATCGATACTTGGCTAGCTGCTTCTTAGACAAGGCTTCTTGTTCTGAGGCCATTGAACCTCGCAGCATGAGTTGGGGTTCAAACCGCCGGTGTGACACGCTAGAGCGTGGTGACAAAGCGCTACAATCTGATAGCAAAGATGCATCAAACGTGGTCGTGCGATTCGAAGCATCGTGTTGCTAACTTATCATTTGGAAGCGACAAACCAAGCCGAGTTGACCGGCGGCAGATTCATGCTCCGAATCGTGTAGCGTGCAAAGAGGCAGCACCTACAAAATTCGCCTGGGAACATGTGGTGCAAATATCCAGAGGCGGGCATGCACTATCACCACATGGCCGAGGCAGCCGAGGTTGGGGTGGAACTCGGGTCCGCGGATTTGACCGGTGTCTCGCCCACTTTCTCTGCTAGTGATGCGCTGCATTGGGGCTAGGGCAGGCGCGTCAAAAGGTCCGAGCCGTGCATCCCTTGCCATGCTGGCCGTGTGGGGATCCAATGAGAGCCCACTTGGCCCGAAGTGTTGAAAATAACCACTATCGAAGTGTCCATGGCGACCTCGAGCCATCCAAGAGATGTGAGCATCGGGGCATGAAAGCAGCGTGGGACTCTGCGAAGGGTCGCACAAGCCGCACGGCATAAGCAAGAGTTGAGTCTAAATTACGAGACGGCACTGTCGCCCGCGTGCGGGGTCCGTGGGCTCCCAGCGCCGTGGCCATGAAGCTTGCACACCCATGTCCGGCGTGAGGAAACCTCCGAAGGGGCGGAACCACATGTCCGTGCTTTCCCGCGGAACCAACGCGTGCAGCTCCCCTGCGACACGGCCTGCAAGCATGGCATTTCACAAGCACCCCCATCGCGCATGCACAAACGCCCTAATGAAGCTGACTGCTGCCCGAAGGCAGGTGGCATCTCTTCAAAGAGTCACCGCACATGCATACCGCGGAATCATGGCGATCTTGCCTGCACCTTGCGCGACGCCGAGTGCCACTGGACGAATCACATGCAGAATCTGGTGCTGGTGCGCATCTTTGCCTATGCATCCCAGGTGTGGCTCCGCCATGCGTCACTCCGATCACAGACCGCGAGCAGCGGAGTCACGGCCCGAAGGACGGATCTCGGGAAACTATCGGCTTTGCCAAGGCTCAGGCTTAGCCTAACGTACACGATGGTCTGGCAATGCCAACAAACAGCGTCGGCGCCTTCTCGCAACGTGTTCCTCGCATGAATGCATCCTCCACTCGGCCAACTCGGTCCGACGCCACACCCCACAGGACTGAGCGCACAATGGCTAGAAGGAGGCATCTTCTGTTGCGAGTTTGGAAGCTGCACTCGGAACACACCGAGGCGAACGCCTGCGGTATCAGGAAACTTTCACTGGACATGACCAGCATCAGCGCGGAAAGGATTGCCTCTGACGACCGGCATCCTAAGGGGTGATTGGCTGGATCGATGGTCAAGGCTTGAAGCGAGCCTGTCGAATCAAAGCATTCCCGGATTGTAGTGAGGTCGTGAGGTCGTGAGGTCATGGCCGGCCGTTGGCCTTGCGTATCTCCGAGCTCTTCTCTGAGGTCTACGTTCGGAACCACTTCGGAGAGTCGAGCAACTGAAGCACACTGTGTCATTGTGTGGGCAGGGGATGTATGCGCTTCTGGTGGGCGAAAGAAGAGTGGATTGGGGGCGGAGTGACTTCCGAATCCGATGCCGAGGGGGGGGGGGGGGGGGGA